CATAGGTCGACATTCAACCACTGAGCCACACCAGCTGGGCAAAAAAAATGCTGTACTCTTAACTAACAATTGTGGTTTGTGTCTGTCCACTCCTAGTCAGAGGACACTGGAGTGAAAGGACACCTGATATTGGAATTCTCATCTCTCCACTTGTAAATTAACTCATACATGTAAAAACCTTTATAGGGCATACTCTGTGTCTCAGTGTTCTACCTCAAAACTCAGAAAAGAGCTCTAGCACAAACACAGGGAGATATCAGGTGTATGGGATGGGGTGTAAGTCATTGAGGGAAACACTGAACAAGTAGTTACTTTGTCAAGAATCTTCCTCTAGGCTCACAATTGACATACCCTCCCTGAATTAAATGGACAGCCACTTGAGGTTCTCATGGCCCCGTGTATGAGAAACTTCAGTGGGGTGAATATAAACTGTCAGCATTAATTTTTTTTTACCTGTAAGCCCCAAGTTTAAATATTTTATTTGTTGGAATGGCTGTCATAGAACTAATAGATATATAGCATCTTTATTTATTTATGTATAATATGTTAAACACTTTAGTCAAGGACTTTTCCTCTGGAAAAATGGAATATTATGTTACTAAAATAACTAAATATCCAAGTAAGTAGCCCACATTTTTATGTAGCATCAAAACTGTTTTTTTCACCCTGGCCAGGTAGCTCAATTGGTTAGACTGTTGTCCCAATATGCTAAGGTTGCGGGTTCAATTCCCAGTCAGGGCACATACAAGAATCAACCAATGAATGCATAAGTAAGTGGAACAAATTTCTCTCTAAATAAATAAATAAATAAATAAATAAATAAATAAATAAATAAAAATAAACTTTTTCAATCCAGTGATTTCGAAGTAGGGTCCATAGATAGCTCGAGAATCATAAATATATACAAAACCATCAAATTGGGCTCTCAGTTCTTATGGGCAGGCTCTGTAAACATGTGCTAATTGCTAAAAGGTGAAGCTTTTTTTCAGAAATAGGTTTGTAGCTGAAACCGGTTTGGCTCAGTGGATAGAGCGTCGGCTTGGGGACTGAAAGGTCCTGGATTCGATTCCGGTCAAGGGCATGTACTTTGGTTGCGGGCACATCCCCAGTGGGGGGTGTGCAAGAGGCAACTGATCGATGACTCTCTCTCATCGATGTTTCTAACTCTCTACCTCTCTCCCTTCTTCTCTGTAAAAGATCAATAAAATATATTTTTTTTAAAAAGTAGGTTTGTAGCCCACCCGTGGGCCATTAGCCATACTTGTATCATATAGTTAAATATTGTGTAGCAGTAACCTAAGTGCAAATTTGGTCACTAAGATGTGGTCTTTATGAATTCAAATTCTCCTGGTTTGAATTCCATTTTACTGAATATTCTGCTAGCCAAGGTCATGCACATGCATACAGATGCTCAGATTAAAGATGCTATTATAAGGTTTTTTTTCAAGTTGGTTGAGGCTTTTGCTGCTTCTTGCAATTTTACCATTATTTTCATCGTTAGCAGTTGGTTAACCCTGTGGGTCAGATGACAAATTCACAAACAGTTACTGGTGATATAAATAGACCTTAAGAAAAATGTGATTCAGATGAGTCATCACACACCTATTGCTGAAGCAGATGCACATTAATAAAAAATACTTGCATACCCTGGATGTTTTGGCTCAATGGATAGAGTGTCAGCCTGTGGACTGAAGGGTCCCGGGTTCGATTCCAGTCAAGGGCACATGCCTGGGTTGTGGGTTCCATCCCCAATGGAGGGCATGCAGGAGGCAATTTATCAATGATTCTCTCATCATTGATGTTCCTATCCCTCTCTCCCTTCCTCTGTGAAGTCAATAAAAAAATATATTTTTTAAAAAGTACTTGCATTATGACAGTTTGTGGCCAATATGCTGCTACCTGTGAATTTGCTGTTCTCTTGAGCATATTTTAATCAGGCTTTCTTTCCTACTAAACATTTTTTTTTTTTTTTAAAGTTTACCACCTTACTTTACCAGTTCAAACAGGTAACCTTGATTGCTTCTCCCTTCCTAAAACACTTTGTCCACTAGATTTCCAGAAGGCCTCTCTCTTGGTTTTCCTACCTCAGGGGCAGTACCTTCTCAATCACCTTTGCTGGTTCATCATACTGACCAACCTTTAAGTAGGAGGGCCGAGAATATCCCTTCTCTAGGTAATCTCACCCAGTGTCCTGGCTTCAAGAGTCGTGTATTGCAGTCTTCAGTATCTCAAGGCCTCTAGCTTAGCCCTCTCATGACAAATACATCTGCTTACTCAGTTCATTTGCATAAAGAATCTGGCCTCTGCCCCGGCTCATGACGACCAGTGGTTAGCGCATCTGCTCATGCATGGAAGGGTTACAGGTTCAATTCCTGGCCTCAGTCAATATATGGACAGGAGGCAACCAATTGAAGTCTTTCTCACATCTCTTCTCTCCCCCCCCCCCCGCCCCCCCTTTCCCTTCCACGCTTTCTAAAAACAAATGGGAAAAATATCTTCGGGTAAGGATTAACAACAAAAAGGATCAGGCGCCTTGCCCTGGCCAGTGTGGGTCAGGTGGTTGGGCATCATCCCATACAAAAGGATGTTGGTTCCATTCCTGGTCAGGACACAGGTTGTAGGTTCGATTCCTGGCAAGAGGCGGCCCATGGATGTCCCACTCTCACATTGGTATTTCCCTTTCTCTAAAAACCAATGTTCTTTAAAATACACTCTAGGTTTCTCATCCCCATCCAAATGTTTATCTTCTTCCGGGTGCTCTCCCTCCTCATTCAACACATGGGAATATTCTGTTCTCCTTAATTTCCAAGGACTTCCACAACTACCACTGCAGAGGAAACTATTAGCACCTCACCTAAAAATCTTGCCTGGCTGGCATGGTTCAGTGGTTCAGCGTTGACCTACGAAACAGGTCACGATTCAATTCCTGGTCAGGGCACATGCCCAGGTTGTGGGCTCAATCTCTAGTGTGGGGTGTGCAGGAGGCAGCTGATCAATGATTCTCATCATTGATGTTTCTCTCTCCACCCCTCTGATCAATAAAAATGTATTTAAAAGATATATATATTGTGTGTATATATATATATATATATATATATATATATATATATATATATAGTCTTGATATACCCTTGTTTTCTGCTTTTACCTACTACTCAGCAGCCATAAAATGGTCTTTCAGGTCAGATCATGTCACCCTTCTTCTCAAAGCCATGTCTGTGGCTTTCCTGCATCATCTGATTTCTTTCCCTGACTACTCACTTCTCTGTAACTCTTCTTCTGCCCCCTTATGTCCAACAAACTGGCCACCTTATCCCCAGAACATGTCAAACACACTCCACTTCAGATTACATTTGCTATTTACCTGGAATGCTTGCCCTCAAGTGTATTACAAAGGATTTCCTAGACAACTGTAAAAACCAGTCCTTTCTCCATACACTAACAGCCTATCCCCAAACATCACTAGCAACATCCCTGTACTACATATCAATGAGAAAATAACCTTCTAATGTATACAAAGTGCACACGACTGAGAATAGCCTTCTCAGCCAACTACCTGAATTCTTCACTTCCTACCCAGTCTTTGCATTGCTGTTCTTGTCTTTCCACTTTTCCATAGCTAGCTGTTGACACCAGACCTCTACTAAAGTTGTCATCTTTGACCACTAGGGGGCAGACCTGAAATTTCTCTCTCCACTAGTGTTTCAGAGTGGCGCCCTCATCCAGTGTCACTTGCTACATTTTAATGTCAGAAATCAACCAGTTGCCAGTTATTTGGTTTGCTTCATTACCAGTAGGCCTTGTCAATCCAATTAACATATCTCAAATTGTGATCCACACACACTTCTTTGATGCCACCAGGGCAAATTTGATTGCCAAATCACTGGATTTTAGGCTTAAAAAAAAAAAAAAAAAAAAAAAACACACACACACAACACTGGCTCAGGTTGTTTTAACCTAAGGAAAAGGTGTAGGGCAGTGATCCACAAACCACAGCTCCTGAGTCACATGCGACTTTCACAAAACATCATGTGCAGCCACACATGTACAGTGTAATAGAAACTTCAAGGCCCACAGGCAGAAGTCGGTTTTCGGCCTGGGCAAGTCTGTGAAGTGGCGTTAGCACACACAAGGGGCCAAAGAGCTGCAGTTTGCCTGCCACCGATGTAGGGGAATTTTCCAGCTTCTCCTGAACTTACATTTTCCTTTGGAGTAAAACAGACTAATTGTTGACAAAGTAACTCCTGAACTGTAAAAACTGCATGCTTTTTCATCTATTCCCCCATTCAACCATGGAGACCATAATCAAAAAGTGTAAGAGCCTTTCTTCCTCCATCTGCACTGCAACCTTAACAGAGTTAACTGCTCCAGATCAGATGCATTTTTATCCCAAACCCACAGCCTGGTCAAGTTCCTTTTTCCTCTACTCATCAGCCAACCCACATCCCACCTATAACCCCACCTTTAAAAGTAGGGGCCAGCAAACCTTTCCTGCCAATAGTCACATAGGTCTGCCACCCATCTTTGCTCTTGCAGTGCCCAAAGCAAATCTATAAACAAGTGATTATGGCAATGTCCTGATAAAGCTGAACAGCAAATTAGACCTCATCTATCTAATAAAAAGCCAGTGGCCAGAATGACCTGTCACCAGGAGATGCATGGGCCTCTAGTATCCTATAAGCTATACTGACTTTTCCCATTTACAAACAGCCACCTTAAAGTCACACAAAATTTGCCAACCCCATTTCATGAAATCTTACAATTCCAGAGACCTAGATTTCTACAGAACTTGGTTCTAACTTGACATGATAAATAAGCTCAGACAATACTTTGCTTCCGGCTGTATTAGTCTCTTTATTCTTTAGGTAATCTCTTCCAGTTAACTACTTCTGTTTGTAGGTGATGAAATGTCTAAGGAATCCACTTCAAATGTTGGCTCTGCTGTGAGCATGGTCTCTCCCTTTACTGTAACTCAGAATTAAGACTTTTGATTCTTGGGATTTTTCCTCCAGTCTCAGAAGCAGTTTCCACTGTAGAAGTTATCTGAAGACAGTCTATACGCTTTATAGTAGTGGTCTACAACCAGGCTCTAGCTTCTCCAGGAACACTACACAGGATAGATTTTAAAATGTATTAAACTAAGAAGCATTCTCTCAAATGAATTTAAATGCATTTTATTTTTAGACAACCTACATGACATGTTTCTTTCTTAAAAACAATGCCTCCGCTCCAAATGAATCAAGGTCAAAATAAACGAAGAGCTCAAGATGACATCAGTCCCATCTGTCCTAGGCTTGGTGTGGATGAAAAGCAGCAGCCAGTTACGGTGACAGGTGATAGAGCCAAACTGCCCAATTTGTTACTGCGAAAACAAGAGAAATTGTATTAGCACCTTTCCCAATAGGAAAGCACTTAACATTTCTAGGCTGCAAATGTAGTCCCTTATTCAATCTGGGCCGCCACAAAGACAGACAGAAAGCGCAGGGATACTTTTCTTTCGCATCCCAGTGCAAACCATAAGAACAACAGGTTGTTCAAGGTCTATCAGTGGATGCAGAACCATCCTTAGCAAATCAGAAGTAGCAGTTTTCAGAAAGTACACATTTTTAATAAAGTCCCGCACACACTTACCTTCAAACCCTCAGATAATCTGAGTAATTCCTGCGGCCAGTCTGCTCTAAGATGCTGTCTTATTGCTTCTAAACTTGTTTAATATAGCTTTAACTTCACCTTGTTCCTAATTTACAAGGTGAAGATAATCATAACAATGCCTTCACTTCTGTATTACTCCAGTAGCTCCTGGGCATAGCATTCTTTTCATTTTATTAAAGCAATTTGCGTATCAGAATTTACTGAACGCTAGTAACATCAATACTTTCAATGATTAACAGCCAATTATCTCAGCAAACTCCAATTAAAAGAATTTCGATATATTTTCTTTAGATGACAAAGATTCCACACCATAAAATTCTTTTATATGAAGCCCTCTTTAAATCCCTGGAGAGAGAGACATGTCCCCACATTTTAAAAGGACTACCCGGTTTGGCTCCATGGCTAGAGCCCCCGGCAGGGTCCGGGTTTGATTTTGGTGCATCTATGGGTGGCAACCAATCGAACTGTCTCCCTTCACTCAGATGTTGTCTTTCCCACTCCTTTTCACTCTAAAAAATCAATGAAAAAATATCCTTGGGTGAGGACTAAACAAAATAAATAAAAATAAAGAAATTTGGTGTTAAAAATAAAGGACTGCTACAGACTGCACTCTAACTCAGTAACATGAAATAGGAATCACAGCTAAAATGTCTCCATTTTTACATAATTTTGACCCACTTCTGTATACTTACACATTTTTCCATTTCTAAACCATCTTTAAAGAAAATCATATATGGGGTCACACCATCCTCACGGTAGTCCAGCAGAGCAACCATGCCATCTGGATTCATGTTTTCACCAATAAAGAACTTAGGAAGCAAAAACAAACATCTAGTTAGACCATTATATACAGATGTGCCTTATCAAAACAAACTGAAATGACCCACACCAACATGATTTGAGAAGGTCAGCAGACAGGTTCTGATGCCTATGAAGAAAATGCTCACTAATCAAACATTGGTCACCTGACTAAAGCACTAATACAGAGAAATACAGGAATACTCAAGGTTTCCTAGAAACTTACTCTCACATTACTTTATATTTATGAACATACAAATCTCAAACCCTGTAAGCCTGTGTACAAAGTCAAGGACAAGACCATAATGCTGTGAATGAGAAAGCTCATCATATGGTGAAAGACTCTTATGGTCAATGTGAATGTGTCCAAGACAGAAATATCAACCAGACTGTTAAGTCTTAGAAGTCACTGAAGTTCCCCAATACAGACAAAACTCCAGTTGCAATGAAACACGCCGAATTTTAAAGGGAACACTGGAAGGTCACCTAGGAGGTTAATAAAACAACTTATGAAAGAAATAATAAATGCCATCTAGGTAGGAATGAGATTCTGTAATCAGAAGACAAGATCTGGAAACACACTTGGGGAACAGGGAAAGCTTCTTTCTACAGCCTGTACTATTGGAATTGAATCTATGAAGTACTCAAACTGCTCAAAAGCCCACAAGTTAACTACAAAGACTTGCACCAAATATTTAAGGCATCAATTTACCTGGTAGTTTTTGAAATTGGCAAGGATGTGCTTGATTTGTTCTGCAGCCCCTGTCATAAAAGGCTTTACTCTTTCTGGTCTCTGTTCTTCAAGCTTCCCTTTGATTCTAAAACAATATTTCATTAATAGGTTAAAGTACTGACTTCTGAGCAAAATAACTTAAGTAAATCCCAAAGAAAAACAAAAGCACTGAGAACAGTAAAATAACTAGTTCACTGGACATATCACAACAGTACTATTCTAAAAGGCTAAAAGCATACCACTTGCTTTAGTATGCTCAGTTAGTTTACTTATATGGGAAGCCACCAATAACACCTCTTGCCAACCAGTTTCTCTCTTCTTCCTTCCTCCCTCTCTGAGGATTAACAAAAAAAGTAATACCACCTCACACCTATAAGTATGCCTGCTGCTGAAGAATCTCAAATTTAGCCAATCCATGCCCTGCCAGTGTGGCTCAGTGGCTGAGCATCCACCTAAGGACCTCTGGTTTAATGCCCAGGTTGCCTGCTCCACCCCCAGTAGTGGCTGTGAAGACAACCAATCAATGATTCTCTCTCATCGTTAATGTTTCTCTTTCTCCCTGAAATCAATAAAAAAATGTATTTATCCCCACCTCTAAATCTTGTAAGATTCCAGAGACTAGCTGGGAGTGCCAATACCACTTACGATTTCATGTAATCTTTGATGTACTTCTTGTAGGCTTCTTTTGTGAAGCTGGTTTCCTGCAAGTGATGGTTCATGACAATGTCAACGCCAGTGACTACTGTGCTTTCGGTCCCTTCGCCCTCAGGGCCTTCAGCGGAGGCATTTCCACCAATAAGCGAGTCATCAATGTTACCCTCTGTCCTACTGACCATCTGCACAAGAAATAATAGTTTGGTTTCAAAAGACATTCTTGATTGTAAACGCATCCAAAAAGTTTCATATGCCAGCAATTCATGTATCCATCACCCTCTCACCAGATGTTCTTGTTTCTTGCTGTTAATAACGAAGACATTTTTGGGGGAAATTTGTGACCCCTCCATTCCTGAAACACCTCAACTCAAGAACTTTGTTGGTTGGAATGAAAATGGGGTTATTACAACCAACTGCAAGTTTCTGTGGGTTCCCAAGTTGATGACCTAGCAAAGGGCAAGCACTCCAGGGCTTGGTGATCCCAAACCGCAGACAACCTGCCCCGACCAGGCCGCGGGGAGGATGGGCGCCCAGGCGGCGTTACCTATTTCTATTTCCAGACTCAGCTCCGCCTCCGCTTTTCTAGAAAAACCCGGGCCCGGAAAGAGTCTCCTCCGCCAGGAGGCAGAGAGGAGAATTGCACAATCTCGGGCGGGGGAGCGGCGGAAACCCGAGCTTGCCCAGCCTCGCCTCCCGGCAGCCGCGGCCCGACTACTCACCTTCCCCTCTACCTCCAGGCACAGCCCGTCTGCGATCTCCCGGATCTTGTAGATGTCGGAGAACATCTCATCGTCTGCTCGGACACACAAACCCGCCGTCACGATGCGCCCGGGGGCCCGGCGCCGGCGCCATTTCCCGCGCTGGCGGTCCGCACGCGGTCCGCACCCTCCCGGGCGCCCCAGACCCGGCGCGCGCCCCGGGCACCGGCCCTCCCCGCCCCAGGGAGGCCGCCGGCGGCCACTAGGCCCCGGACGGCGCGGCTCCCGCTCCCCCACCCGCGCCCCCGCCCCTGCGCGGCAGCGGGGGGAAGCAAGCAGGACTCACGGCTGATGAGGTCCCGGTAGATGATCATGATGGCGGCTGGGAGGAGACGGCGGCGCTGCCTTGGGCAGGAGCACGGAGCTCGGCGCGAGCGCGGTGCAGCCGGAGCGGCGCTCGGGGGGAGGGAGGAGCGGGCGGAAAAGGCCGACTCAGCCGCTCCCCAACCTCATATAGAGGGCAAGTCCCCCTACGTCATCGCCCGCTGCGCCCCCGGAAGCGCCGGAAGCGGTGACGTGGCACGCAGAGCGGCGTGGGGCGGGGCCACGGCGGGGCCGAGGTGGGGAGGGAGGCGGGAGGCGAGCATCCGGGGACTTGGCCTGGGGACGCAGTGCGGCGCCCAGCGGCTCTGGGGCGGAAGTGGTGAAGGGAGGGGTGGGGAGCGCCGGGGGGGGGGGGGCAGTAAGGAGGGGGAACCGGAGGAACGCGGGGAACTGGGGCCGCCCCTGGGTGGGGCTCAGAGGACGTCTCTCAAGCTCCGCCCCGCGCGGCTCCCTCCGTTTTGTCAGGTTTCCAGGTACCTGCTGGCCCCGCTCTGTAGAAGGGGAACTTGTCGTGGTCCGAGGGTCGGGTCCGTGAGGCCTGGGGAGACCACGAGGCCGTCCTCGAGTTTGAGGGGGGCAGGGTGGGGCTTTTGACCGGGCTTCGGACCGCCGCGGGCTTCGGGGAGCGTCTGAGCGTTGGGCCCGGGGCCCTGCCGGTCCAGGTAGTGCGAGTCCCTCCCTGGGAGTAACGGGGGGAGGGAGGGTGGAGTGGAGGAGGGTCAGGGTCTTTGGAAACCAGGGAGGAGGGTGTCAGGGGAGTTTTCACAGTTTGAAAGCTGGCGGGTTCCTAAGGCAGGCAAGGTAGAGCCCTTTCCGTTCTGGAATCGGTCTTGAGTTACATCCTTTACTGAGAGAAGAGCACGTTGTCTCTGGAGATGAAGTTGAAATTATATCCCAGGTCCAGAGGGTTAAACACAAAGATAGGGAGTTTCCCAGCTGCCCAAGAGTTACTTGGACTTTAGACCCAGACACTGGCTGCCAAAAACCCGAACTTCCCTGCTGGGGGGCTCAAGCCTGTATGAAACCTGAGAGCTCTTCCACTCCAAATGTCTTTATGCTCTTCTCTCTGGTTTTCTGTTCAATTAAAAATATTGTTTCATATTTCACAAAGACAGCCACGTTGAAAACTACTGAGGTTAGAGGCAAAGCACAGAGGTCCTTGAAATATGGTAGCAATCATACTTGGGTAAAAACTGCTGTTTGAATTTTAACCCTGCTATCTGACTTCAACCTTCGATTACTTGCTTAAACTATAGGGTAGTTACAGGAGATTGATTTCCACTGACTCAATAGCTTCAGGGGTAGAAACTATAGATAACCTTTAGAGATTAACCGCTGAGTTCTGCTTCTGTATTATTGGCAAAATAGGGCCACATTCCAATGTTCCCAGCCTTTAGAATTTAGAACAAAGAAAAATTCCTGTGGTTTGAACCTTTAAAAAAGACTGGAACTGTGTGGTCGTGTGGACTCCACCTGCTTGTGGTACTCTCGCTGCCGTCCTGGCCAGTTTTTCAATAAATACTTGCCTGCTTTTTTTAATCATTAGCCTCCGGAGGTCTTATTTTGAACCCAGGGTTGGACCCCACAACAGTCCTGATTGTGAACAAGTTAAATCTAGTCTCAATCTCAGAAAAGTTTATTCTAGTAAGTCAAAGAATCAGGCCATTATAACCAAGTATTTTTCCTAAATCCAATTAATAAAGCATTTTACAAAGAGAGAGTAACTCTGTGAAGATGTAGGGCCCAGGACAGAGCCATTGTTGCCTGAAAGGGGACCTGGCCAGAGCAGGTCTGCCAAGGCCCAGCCTGGAGGTGTGGGGGTTCTAGACTTTCACAGTAGGAGTCCAGGTGAATTTGGGGGACGTTTATGAAAGCTGGGGACAGTGAAACAAGAGAGGGCTGGGAAATAGGCCTTGGCTGGACTGCTTTGCTCAGAAGCCAGAGAAAAGGCCGGTGGGGGACAGGGCCAGGATGGACTAGCGTTGACCTTGTGGGGTCCCTTGGAGTTTAGGAGATGCATGCCTGTGGGAGAGGTGCAGGTGTGTGCTGGGCCTTCGTTTTGTGGAGTTTTAAAGGCGGGGTGTTTAGGGGAAGATCTCAGTAGAATACAAGTATTCAGGTTTTATGCTGATGCACCAAAATGAGGTTTATTCTCTTAAAGTCCTCTGTCCTTGGGTGTGGTCAGCAAATGGCACTAATTGGATTTCTGTTTAGTAGGGCAATTTAAGCTATTTATCCTCTGATGGGGAGAAGTGAAAACCACATACTCCAGTCTTCCTGGTTTAGGGATTTACTAGGTGACTGCAAACTGCTGTTTATTGGTCTCAGTTTCCCTATTCCCTAACTTCTCAAATGAGATAATGATAATGAACCACGTAAACTGATGAACAAAAACAGACCCAGAGAAGGAGAAGCAGGGATCAGACTCTCAAATCTCAGAGGGAAAGTATGGGAGGGTGGGGGTAAGGGGGAGAGATCAACCAAAGGACTTGTGTGCATGCATATGGGTCATGGACAACGGGGGGGGTGGGGTGGGGTGGGGGGGGTGGTGCATATGTGGGGAAGGGTTTGGGATGGGAATAGGGGGATGAGGACGATTATGTGATATCATAATTTAAAAAAATTTTTTTTAATGAGATAATGGAGGAATCAAAATGGAAAAGAGCCAGGCAATGGGAACACCTTCCCCCACCCCAAGATGGGCCCCTGGGCTGCACTGGGTAACTGAGAGGAAGCAAAAATGGGTTGAAGAGGTTCTGAAAAGTGGACATCTTCTGACAGATGGTCCATGGAGGATCTCTCAAAGCTCTTGATTTTTTTTTCTTTTGTGGGATGTGTAAATGGAACAAATTATTATCCCAGGCATAGCACAATTTATTTTCCTCAGCTTTAACATTTCATATTTAGAAATATTCCCCCATAAGTACCCTCAACTATTTACTCCCTCTACTCCTCTCCAGTTTTATGTCCAGTTAAAAATGTTTCTTCAGGTTTTTATAAAAATAGCCACAGTGAAAAAAAGTACTGACGTGAGAGTCAACACACCCTAGATTGAAATAATGACTTTATCTACTACTCCTGTGACATTAACAAAGTCAGCCTCTCTAAGCCTAAGTATAAAATGTAATGTTTGTGAGTTAGAAGAGTTTGGGAAGTTAAGATGATGAAAAAATGCCTAACATCCTCAATAGTTTATTAATAAATATTGGATCACTTTGTATGCATAATTCTTCCCAATTTTTATTACTTTTTAAAGTATTCTTGAGCCCCGGCCAGGTAGCTCAACTGGTTAGAACGTTGTTCCAATATGCCAACATTGCAGGTTTCATCCCCGGTCAGTGCACATATAAGAATCAACCAATGAATGAACAAGTAGAACCATAAATCACTGTTTCTCTCTCTTCCTCTCTCTCTAAAATCAAATAGGTAAAAGTTAAAGTATTCCTGCCCTAACCAGTTTGGCTCAGTGGATAGAGCATGGGCCTATGGACTCAAGGGTCCCAGGTTCGATTCCGGTCAAGGGCCATGTACCTTGGTTGCTGGCACATACTCTGTAGGGTGTGTGCAGGAGGCAGCTGATCGATGTTTCTAACTCTATCCCTCTTCCTTCCTCTCTGTAAAAAAATTAATTAATTAATTATTGTAAATAAATAAAATGTTTTAAAGTATTCCTGAAACTATTCCATTAATCCTCTATGTTATTTGTTAGATTGTGGGGGTTTAGTTGATGTATGTTGTACTATTTAATTACAACACTAATAGTAGATCACTGAAAGAATTCAGCTTGGTCCTTATGACATTTCTAATCTCAGATTCATATTTGATAGCTCATGACAATTCAGTGACTACACATTCTGAAACCTAAAATCTTAGGAAAATATTTGAATAACATTTTATTCCTTACAAAGCAATGATTTCTAGCAAATTCTGAGATTGCCCTAAATTTTGCAGCTGCATATGACTTGGTATTTCTTGCAATTAAAGAAATTCCAAAGACAGTGTCTTCTAGCCCCTTCCACACAAATCCTTACATGAGAAAAGAACTTTAGTAGGACTTGCCATTTGTTCAGTTAGGGATTGTTACAATGGCTTAACCACATTAAGGTTTATTTTCTTTTAGTAAGAAAATTCAAAGGTATGTAGTCCAGACTGAAGCTATGAAGCCATGGTGGCTTCATGGGATAGAAATCAGGGATCTTCCTTTCTTTTCTAGCATCCATATGGTCTTCAACAAATGCTGGAATTCCAGCCATCACGTCGACCTTGCAGGCAGCAGGCAGCCACAACCGGGAAAAGACCAAAGGGCACATTCTAGCTGTGTGTTTTCCTTCTGTGGAGCTCTTCCAGAACCCCCACTGAACAATTACAAAAGGATGCATCTTGCCCAGCCTCTGTGGATCAGTGGTTGAGCTTCTGACCTATGAACCAGGAGGTCATGGTTCCATTCCCACAGCCTCAGTTGAATGAATGGATGAAATTGTTAGGACAAAGGTTTTAAAGCTCTTCTTGCTAACTGTTAAAATGTAGCACAGTATTTTGCAGAAGCTGCTGTAAACGGGAGGAGCTTGAGAAGAACGCAACCAGTAAGCGTAGTCAACTTCAAAGAAGAAATCAGTGTGTAGTTAATCAAGTAGTATATATAGTATAAGGGCTAAGCCTTCCTTCCTGGAGACAGAGCTTTGGATGTGAATCCGTCTCCTTTACTTGCTGCAAGTAAGTAAAACCTCCTAATAACTGTCATGTCTGGTTCTTGACTAGAACACCTTAAGGAGAACATCCCTTGTGTTCTGTAATCAATGTATAAATACATTTTTCATCCATCATATAGATGAATGGATGAATATTAGAGTAATTTTCATATATTTTTAAATCTTCCAGATTATTAACTTGTTGGGAGGCTTTCTCCATGACCCCTGCTTTCCTGATATATCCTTTCTCAAAAATCAGTCATGGAATGCAGCTCATATTAGGAACCCAATTCAATTTTAGAATATCAAAATTTTGAAAGAAATTTAAATTTCTTTACAAGAATAAAGCAAGGAACAGAATAGTAAAAATAGTGTCAGTATCCCTTTTAGGAAAAGAATATACATATGTTTGCATATATGTACAGTTTTTTTTTAGG